GGGGGGGGGGGGGGGGGGGGGGTAAATTGAGGCATAGCCTAGTTTCAGATTAAGTGAGCAGTCCAGTGAGCCAGGCCTTCAGTGGTCACGGGGGGCCTAAGCTAAGTTACTGCCCCTCTCTGGTGTTCACAGTAGGGAGAGCTGACAAGAGGGTTATCTGGGAAAGAAACCCCTCCAGGAGACCCTTGAGAGACCTAGAGAGGCTATAGACTGGAGGCTCAGAGGGGTGGCTGTGCAGGAATGACCTCCCCCAAGTCCCTGCCCATCCTGCCCCCAGTAGCTAATAGGCAGGAGGCCAGGAGAGAAGGGGGGGACCCCAGCAGGCCATTAGCAAAAGGTACACACACTCAGCACTTTGATAAGTCTTGGTGCCTGGAGGCCAGGGGCAGCCACTGGTACCACACAAGTTGGAGGGCATGATCAGAAGGAAGAGGGAAGGAGGCTTGAGATCCAAGGCCAGCCAGGGCACCTGCTCTGTGGCCTCAGCCTGGTGGCCTTCCTTTGGGCCTAACTGTCATGATGAGACAGGAGCAGCTGTTCCCAACTCTGGGAACCTCACAAGAATGAAGGGCCCAGTTTGAGCCTCTGGCATTATCTGGTCACTGCCCTCAACTGCTTGTCAAAGCTTCCAACTCCAAAAGACTGGGTGACGCAGGCCAGGCAGCAGCACACACTGCAAAGAGGTAGAGGGATTTGCTGGCTGGGGAACTGGGCACAGGCACCATGTTCGGGGGACTTTGAACTCTCAACTTTTGGAGATGAAGAGAGGAAAACAAGGTTGGGGCTGTAGCTCAGTTTGGTGGCACGTTTGCCAGTATGCGTGAGACCCCAGATTCCATGCCCAGTACCACATAAACCAACATCATAAAGAAAAGCAACAGAAGACCAGGGAAACATACCCAGGAGAGCTGGCAGGTGTGTCTCCTTGCCCAGTATAGACTGGGGGCACTTCAGGAGAAGTGGCCTGGCTCTAAGGGAGCAGCCATGTGGGGGTGGAGCTCTAGGAGATTCCTCCAGGGACCAGTCCCTGGCTACTTGCGAAGCCTCTTCCCAGACAGGACTCCCTGCCCCATGCCCCTCCTTCCTCCTACAGGGACTCCCAGAGTCCCAGCTCTGCAGAGCTGCAGTTGCCATGCAGAGCAGAGAGCAGCCTGCAGTCCTGAGCTGTGTGGGCGGTCCAGCCTGGCCCAGTGAGCTTGCCCTGGGTCTGGCTGAAGGCCTCGAGTCAGCAGGCCTGGCAGGAGATGGATGGAACCATCCAGAAAGCTCAGCTGCTTTGCTTTGGCCGCCTTGCTGGCCCCATGTGCTCATACTGTCTGGGCTTACACAAAGCCCTGGGAGAGACAAGACCACTGTAGGTGCCATTCTCAGACCCATCCCCCACTCCAAAGCTGTTGGCCAAGCCTGACAGGCATTTGGGGCAGGGGTGGGGCAGCTGGCCAGGGGCACTGGCTGGACTGGCCTAAGAATTCTTCCCCATCCTCATGCTCCTCCCACTAGGGTGCGGGCCAGTATGCGCACACAAACATTTTACACACACACACACACACACACACACCCCGCCACCCCCACCTCTGCAGGGCAACAGGTCCCTGCCCTGGGAAGCCATTACATAACCTGGCCTTCGGCGTGGGGTGAGCAGGCTGACATCACTGCGTCCCCTGGGCCAGGCCCCGTGAGAGCCTCTGCCTAGCACCTGCCCGCCTTCACCACCCCCAGATTCGCTCATCTGATACTAAGACTCAGCCAGCCACCAGCGCTGCAGAAACTTCCCGTTCAGACAGGAAATAACACTTTGGGCCAGGGGTGTCTTGAGAGAAGGCTGTCCACGGGCCACCATGGGGTGGGGGGTGCAGCAGCCAAGGGTTTTCCCCACATGACTGCAACCTGCTGATCCCTCCCAACCAGCACCATCAGTTTAGGGGGCTGCAGGGCACAGACACTGAGCTGGCTTGGGACCACACACATTAGTAAAGAGGCTGGGGACCTACAAGGGACACAGCTGCCTTAGTAGGGTGGGGAGGAGGTATTCCTGGAAGAGACCTAGTAAGCAGCTTGGGACAGGACCTGGGTGGTGGCCTGCAACGCCTCCCTGCACAGGGCCTGCTTGGGAGTTGGAGAGCACAGTCACTGGGCTCCCCTGGACCACATTAAGTAAGTAGTGGAGGGAAAGTGAGGCAGAGAACTTGCAGGGAACACAGAGCCACAGATCACACACCTGGGGGTGGGGGTTGTTCCTGGAAAAGACCTAGTAGGTATCCGGGGGACAGGACTGGGGACAGGGCCGTGGCCTGCAACGTCTCCCAACAGCTCATCTGCGACTGGCTGTAGTAATGCGGGTGTGTGTGGGGGGTGGACACTAAACTGAGCAATTGCAAGAGACAGGGAACCAGAGATCACACACATGCCTTGGGGAGGAAAAGGGGGAGTCTTAGAGGCTGGGGACAGGGGCTTCCGCCTGTTGGCCCCCTCCTCGTCCAGCACAAGAGTGCACGGTGGGTCCTGCTGCCAGGCCCTGCACCTGTCTCCGGGGTGCACCTTCACCGCACCTAAGACCCCGGGGACCCCTCACCTTGAAGGAACGGTGGAAGCCCTGAAGTTCGGCTGTTCTCCTCTGCACCATCTTCAGTCTGTGCCCCGCCGGCGGGGGAGGGGACGCTGGGCCCAGGGAACGGCCAGGGAGGCGACCCTACAGACGGAGCAGACAAAGAGCCGACGCTGAGCGGGGCGATCCGCCGGACAGAGGCGGCCCGGGCTCGGCGGAGCTCCTGCGCCGCGGCTCGGGGCGTCCCTCCTTCCCACCGGAGACCGACGACCCCCGAGCTGCGCTTACCGGGGTCGGACGCGGACCGGGTCCTTAGCGCCGTCACCCAACGTCGCACAGCCTGGAACCCGCTCC